CCCGCCCCGGACCCCCGCCCGCCTCCAGCCCGCGCGCCGCCTCCGGGGAGCCCTCTTGGGGCCTGACCCTGCCGGGGAGCACGCCAAATCCAGGACGCGGGGGGACGGCTGGCTGGTGGTGGTGGTGGTGGTGGTGGTGGTGGTGGGCCCTGCAGTAAACTGGGGGTGGGGGGATGCAGAGGACAGGAGGCACCAGCCTGGAGTTTAGACCCACTGGCCCGGGGCACCCACCCCGGCACAGCGCACAGGAATCCTTCCCCGGCATCGCTGCTCCCTTGCTCGCCAGGCGTCACTGGGCACACACCCGGCGGCTCCTGCCCATGTCCAGCCTTGTCCTGCCGCCCTTGCTCCTGGTTCTGCCCTGGAAGTTGTTCAGTCAGGAGAACGTTTGTGTTTTGAGCCCTAGGTCCCTTTTAGTCCAGTGTCCTGCACCCTTCTCTCTGTGTAGTGTCCAGAGCTCCATCTGTCATCCCTGAGAGAAGGAGCTTTGGAGAGAGAAGGGGCGGAAGAGGGGCCTCCAGGCAGCACCGACTCCCAGTCCTGGCCTGGCTGGTGTGGACCGGCTGGCTTCCCCCGCTCCCCGAAGGTCCAGCTCCAGCCTCTTTCCAGTCTACACTAGTCAAGGACAGGACAGGACCGGGAGTGGCCCCAGGCTGGACATGAGCCATACCCCTCTCCTTGGCCTCCTGGAGCAGGGCCTTTGCTTGACGCCTGGGCAAGGGGGGAGGGGCCTGCCGCCACCTGCACCTGCCCTCCTGCAGGTGAGGGGCAGGGCCGCCAGGCGCCTTTCCTCAGTTCCATCTCCTTCCTCGAGCCCAGGCAGCTGCTCTGGAGACCCCTCCCTCAGCACCCAGCCCCTCAGCACCCTTGTTCCTTCCCCTGCAGCCCCTCGCCCTGCGAGACCCCCAACCTTGCCCTCTTCTCTGTTTGCCTTTGGAGACACCGTCTTTTCTCACCTCCTCCCTGGACCCCAGCTTGCCGCTCCTGCTTGACTTCTCCCCTTGCTTCACCCGACCCTCCCACCCACCAAGCACCTGTATTGCCCGCCGTGGTTTCAGCTCAGTAGGTGCCCGTGACCGCGGGGTCACTCCCAGATCTCCAGTCTCCATGGGTGACTCCACCATGAGCTGGTGCTGGCTCGGAGCTCTGGAGGTGGTGCCATGGCTGAGGTTGCTCACCTGCCCACGCCTGGCCCACCCCCTCAGTGGAGCTTGGCCTCCCCAGCTCTCCACCACAACCCACAGCCACCTGGACCCTCCCTCCCTCTCCCCCTGATGTCCACCCAACCCCGGGGGACAAACCTCATGTGTCATCTGTCCAATTCTCAGGCCATTTAGTCACAGCTGCTGCTGTCACCCCACTTTACAGTGGCACAAAGCGCCACACCATTCCCGCAGGCGCACAGCCGGTCAAAGATTGAACTGGAGTCCTGCTCCTGACCGAGGCAGACCCCTGCGCCGACCGCCAGCCTGGAACCAAGCTGCACACGGGGGCGTGGACATGGGGTGTGTGACCCATGCAGTGGGCAGCCTCGCCTGCAAGCCATCCCACCGTCCCTTCTGAGGCACCCCAGCTGAAGGCCCCGGCGCAGAGCGGCCATTGCGTGCACGCCGACGTCCCGGCACTGGGGTCCTGCAGCAGCCCAGGCTCTGACCCTGGTGATGGCCGCCTTCCACGTGACAGCCAGGTCCAAGGCCTGGGTTGGGGGCCCCCTCTCTGGGCAGCCCTCCCAGGCTCTGCCAGCCCTCCTCTCTGCCTCCCACCAACCTAAACCCGCACGGCCTTTAACCCCCAAGTCAGAATGTGACCATTTGTCCTCTTCTGTGGTGTCATGTGTCCTATTGATGTGTTTGTGACAACAATAATAATAAGCCTGTTGTGCATTATGCAAAGTAACAGCTTCAAGATCAAAGCCCTTCCAATGCGTTGTGTTTACCTCCATCTCTGTGCCCCAGCTCAGGGGTGGGCATGCAGGCCGGGCGCAGATCTGCTCCTGTATGGAGCCGTGTGGTGATGCTTGCGTGCTCACCGGCAAGGATGCTGGGGAGCCGGCCACCCCACTCCACCAGGGGAGGAGGGCTGGGACGCCTGGCCAGGTGTGCTGGCAGGACCGTGAGTCTCATTCCTCCTGGCTGAGGCTCTGGTCTTTGTGAAGTGCAGACGTCACGAGGGCTGGAGAGGGGCGGGAGGGCGAGTGTCCTGGGAAGGTGGGTGGGGTGCGGGCGCCCCTGGAACCAATCCCGCGCTCCGCCGGGCCCCCCAGGCGGGCCTGCCCTGGGCTGGCGGAGCCACACCTGAGGCCGGGCCCTGCTCTGGCTGGTGTCTGTCGTCACATCTATCTTGTTACACAGAGCTAGGCAGCAGGACCATAAAGCAGAAACCTCGTGCATGTTCTGTGTTGACCTGGACGACCGGGCAAAGGCTTTAAATTTATTCTTTAACCACTTTATTGAGAAGTAATGCACATACCGTACAACGCACCCACTTAAAGTGTACAATTCAATGGTTTTTATTATATTCATAGAGATATGCAACCATCACCAGTCCGTTTTAGAACATTTTCATCACCTCCAAAAGAAACTCTGTACCCTTCAGCTCCCACCCCAATCTTCCCGCCAACCCCCAGTCCCAGGGGGCTACTCTCTGCTTCCTGTCTCATGGTTTCCCATTCTGGACGGTTCATGTGAACCGAATTGTGTGACATGTGGCCTTCTGTCTGGCTTCCTTCACTCAGCTTAGTGTGTCCGAGGTTCGTCCGTGTCATAGGGTCAGACCTTCGTTCCTCTTTATGCATGATAACATTCCATTGTATGGGTAGAACCGTTTTCTCTCTGTCTATTCAACTGTTGACGGTCATTTGGGTTGTTTCCACCTTGTGCTGATTGTGAGCTGTGCTGCTATGAACGTTTGTGCACAAGCGTTGTTGAACACATTTCCAGCTCTCCGGGGTGCGTGCCTGGAGTGGAATTGCTGGCTCACGTGGTGACTGTTTAATCCTGTGAGGAACCACCTCACGGGGCCTCCCACAGCAGCTGCCCCATTTCACAGTCCCACCCCCGGGGGGAGGGCTCCGATTTCTCCATGTACACTTGTTACTATCCGACCTCTGGTTTCTAGCCCCCTGGTGGGTGTGATGCAGGTGTGTCTTTGTGGTTTGGATTTGCATTTCCCTGATGGCTAAAGATGGTGAGCACCTTTTCATGTGCTTATTGGCCATTTGCATATCTTCCTTGGAGAAACGTCTGTTCAAATTTTCTTTATGTATTATGGACACAAGTTCCTTATCAGATATCACGATTAGCAAATATTTTTTCCAGTTCTGCGGCTTGTCTTTTCACTTTCTGATGGTGTCCTTTGAAGCACAGAAGTTTTCCATTTTGAAGTCCAGTTTATCTATTTTATCTTTCTCTGTTTGTGCTTTTGGTGGCACACCTCTGAATTATTTGGGCCTTAATTTTTGACTTTGCGCCCACATGGCTACAGCCAGGAGGCAGGCATAGCCAGTCACTCTGGGAAGCTCCTCGAGGTTATTGGTGCTGGGAGTTCTCAACTGCAGGAAACTCGGCTCAGCCTCGCTGGCTCAGACAGGGCCCCCGTAAGGAGCCACAGACGGGTGGAGGTGGGGCTCACCCCCAGCACAGTTGGGGGCCCCTCTCTGTCGCATGACTCTGGATTTCCTCCGTGGGTGCAGACACAGCCGCCGCAGCTCCAGGAAGCCCCACCTGCGCCCAGCAACTGGGGAAGAGGCAGGGAGAGCCCACCGGCTCTCGCTGAGAGCATCCCAAGAAAGGGCCCACGTGCAGGGCAGGAAGATGGGGGAGTGGTGGCTGCCTGGTCAGTGTCCACTCTGTGCTTGGGAGGATGATGGCAGAAGAGGGACATGCCAAACTGACGTGGACAATGGCCATCACCATCACAGAGTCCAAATTGAGGAAGGGTCCCAGCCAGGACAGAGGCATCGCCGTGCCCAGGAGTAGGGACCTGAAATCCGGAGTCGACTTTGGATGGGCAGGAGGAAAGGCCGCTTACTTGCAATGTCCTGCATCCTCCACTTGGTCCTGCTGTGGATGTGGAGCGGCCCATGGTTTCCCAGCCTCATGGAGCAAGGCTGCCAGGTGGCTCAGAGAGGCTGCAAAGACAGGATGTGGATTGAAGTTTTCAGAGAACGGCCACTGCCCCCACCCCCTGCTACCCTGGGCTGCTCTCGGCCGGGGGACAGATCACTGACATGCGAGGACAGGAGGACAGTGTGTGTGCCGCGTGGGCAACAGACTGGCCCCAGCGCTCCCCTTGCCCTCAGGCCCAGGTGCCAGGCAGACCTGAATGGTCCCCAGGTCCTCAGACTGCTTACAGGAGGCAGCTCAGAGGGGCCGGGCCGCCACAGGCTGCGCTTAGCTCCTTGCTCCTGCGTCCTGGTCACTCTGTCCAGTGGCGTCATCACCTTGGCTGGGGGACCCTCACCTTCTCCTTGGAAAGGCCCCAGGGCTCTGGGGGTCTGCACCTCCTTCCCTCTGGTAAAAGCTGCTCCGCCCGGCGTGGACGACCCTCCCGAGCCTCATTGCTGCCTCTAAGCCCCGTCCCTCCTCTGGGCACCCCGACCGGGAGCATCTATGAAAAGCCTGCCACCCATCCCGACACGTGGGAGTCACATAATCCTCACATGTGTGTCCTATGGAGCCCTGGGGTCCTTCATCTGGGGGCGCGCTGGGTGGTGCTTACACAGGGGGTTCATCCAGCCTGGGACGCCTCGCTTCTCCACTGGGCAGGGCTGCGTCTCTACTCTCTGGGCTCGCAGCTCCGTCTGCCTGGCCCAGGCGAGACACCAGTCCCCTCTCAGCCAGGCTCCCCGGGACTCTGTCGAGACCGGCTCATGGTGGGCATCTCGGTGCCTCCAGACCTCCCTCAGCTCAGGCTCACTGTGTGCCTCCCACAGCTGTGAGGAGTCCGGCCGGCCACGAAGCACACTCCTCCGTGACACACGCGCCTCTGCTCAGCCGCGGGGTCTGTGTGCGCCCTTGCCCGGCCCTGCATCGTGCACACAGTGTCACAGGACGTCCTGAGTGTCCAGCTTCCCATGTCTCTGGCTCTATGGGGCCTGGGAGGAGAGAGGAGCTCGGGGGTGGGGCCCCCACTATGGATCCCCGACTCCCAGGTTTCGGGTGTACTCGCCGCTTGAGCTCAGGAAGGAGGGGCTGGAATGCTGCCTTGGAAGATGACATGTCCACTTGTCCATCATGCACAGCCTGTCCTCGGAGGGCATCTGTCAGCTCTCGGGCACCAGCCCAGACCAGGGGTCCGCAGGGTTTGGGGGACCCGTAGGCCCAGGCGCTTTGGCCTTCAGAGGCCCCTTTTCTCCATAAAAAAACACTAACCATTGTATCTCATAATTGTGCTGGGCCCAGCCCCAATGGCGTGCCTTCCCGGCCTCCCCACCGAAGCACCAGGTCCCGGCTGACACAGGGATAGGGCGACGGTGCCTGCGGTGCCCTGTGAGGCCGAGGCTGTATCCGCCTGTCTGGACCCCAGCATCGGTCCCTTTAGGGAAGCTGGATCAAGCTGAGCCCCATCCGTCGTGGTCACCAGCAGAGCACTAAGCTCAGTGCTCCCCTCCACTCTCCCTCCCAATCCTGCAGGCTCATGGGGTGGCAGCCGGACTCCCGGCCGAGCTCGGGCTCCTGAGAGAAGCCACCTGCCTGGCTGGCCTTGGCTTCTCTCCCCAGAGGGCACAGACCTGGGACAGCACGTTCCCGCTCTGCTCACAGTTGTGCAGCAGTTGCTGTCTTTCAAAGGAGGAACTCCAAAACTAAGAACCTATAGCTTGCTCTTCAGTGACGACCTCCTTATCATCTCGGGTTTAAAACACACACATTTGGCAGCAGCGCCAGAAATATGAGCAAGCACAAACTCCGTGCCCTTGGGCACAGCTTTAACTGAGCGCTTACCACGCCCCCGACACCATCGGGGTAGGAAGGCACCTGCTCCATCTGAGAGAGGGAGACACAAACAAGAGACCACCCCACAGCTTCGTTTGGGACAGGACACCCGAGAAAGAGCTCACTGTGCTGCTTCCAGGGACGGGGAAGGACATGCTGCCCTGACCTCAGCTCCATGCCCCTTGGGGCCTTGATTCCTGGGGGATGATGGAGTGGAGGGACGGGCACCCCAGAGGTGAACCCAGACCCTGGTTCCCGTCCCTACCCCCTGGCGCCCCCCCCACCCATCTGCAATCCCACCTCAGAGGGCGACCCTGAGAAACAGTGGTCGCCGGACCCCTGGTGCCTGCTGGACTCTTCCCCTCTCTGTCTGTCCCTCCAGGTGGGGCCGAGCCCAGCTGGGATCCTTCTAGAACACAGTCACTAGCTCCCGGGCCCTGCACAGCTGCTGGTTCCCACATTCTTGCAGACTCAGGCCTCAAGTCCATTGTGACATTCAGTTGTCGAGGCAAGCTCGGTCACTGTCTCCAGGTCCCTGGTGTTCCCTGCTCTGGGGCAGCCTCTCCTTGTCATCTGCCGGTTCAGTGAGTATCGTGTGTGCATTGGTGGTGCCACCAAGATGTGGCCGCTATGAGGTCGCTGTGTGCTTTTCCCACCAGTCTCTGGACAAGTGTTGTTTTCAGACACTCCCTTCGCATGACACTAATGCACGTGTCCTCGCTGTCACCTGTTTTTGGGACAGCCATTTACCCCCTTTGCCTGAGGGGCAGAGACTCTGTGAGTGGCCTGCAGGGACTTCTGCCTCTGGACTCTGTTCCCCCTGAGCTCAGGCCCCTCTGAGCGTCCTCGTTCCCCAGAGATGGCCAGTGCAGGCAGGGACACTTGCAGCGTCCTGTCCCCTGCTGGCCCAGAGCAGGGGGCGACGGAGAACCTGGGACGTACCAGAGGCTGGGACCAGCTCAGGCCCACTGCGGCTGTGGCCCAAGCCCGGCCTGGAGCCCTGGCCATCCTGCCTGCCTCGACGGTCCGAGGGAGCCCCGAGGGCCGAGCCGCAGGGGGCTTGGCCGGGTGGGGCCTCGCCTGCGTCCTGTGTCCTCCCTGCCTGGTCGTGGAGCCTTCAGGACAGTTGCACCTGTTGACTAAATCAGTTCTCAGTACTTTCAAAGAGAAGAGCTGTGCAGAAGACACAACTTGGTCATTAACCTGCATCTTCGCAGGTTTTCAAGGCGCATTGTCATTCTCACAACACGGCTCCTGAGAACCCGCAGGTGGGTGGGCGGGCGGCCTTGTCTCTGAGATGAGGAGCTTGGACGTGGAGATGGGACAGCCCAGTCACCCCCGGCCTGGAGGACCGGCCGAGGGGTGAACTGCCTGGTGCCCACCTCCGTGCCCTGTCTGTGCCTCAGCCCCTTGGTCTGAACAGGAGGCACACCCGTGGGGCCCTCCACTGGGGGCTTGTGTCACACGGCAGCCCCCTGTTCTCCCCTTGGCCCATCCGCCTGCCGCGGGGAGCAGAAGGTCTGGGCCCGGAACTTTGGGAGACGAATGCCCAGCGGACGCCTTGCACTCCTGAAGCCTCGGGAATGAAGCACACACATGTTCTTTATTTAAATCGGTGTGAAACACGTGAGCTTCGGCCGTGTCGGATGGAAGGGGCCAGTGGTGCACCAGGTCTCGTGGAGCCATGGAGCGGGTTCGTCCAGTGTCTGTAGTTGTCATGACCGCTGTGGCCACCATCGTTATCTGCTCCCTTCTAAGAGAAGCAGATGAGCGTCCAGGCGTGATGAGGCATCTGCACCGCAGACCGAGGGCATAGCCACGTCCACCCCCTCTAAAACCGTGACCACACACTGGAAACATTGTTTTTACAGAAAAGAAGATGCCTGGGTACGACCAGGGCCCATCTCCTCGTGCTGGCGGTGGCCTCCCTTCTGCACGGGCAGGCAGATCCTGATTTGTACCCAGTGCCAGATCCCTGGATGGCCGCGGGACGCCCCTGGTTGCTCATCTGTCTCGTGGCAAAGGAGAGAGAGAAGGAAGGAAGCAAACCCGACAGGTGTGGGTGTGCCGCAGCCCTCTGGGTCCTGTCAAAAGAGCTGGCCTCGCCGCCTCCTGGGGGCTCCCCCTCGGCTTCCCTGACCTCGGATTTTGGCTGCCGGAAGTTTCCAGAAGGGGTGGTGAGTTCCTGTAACAATGTAGCTGACTCCCGTCCTTGGCACAGGTGGGCCTCTTCTGAAGAAACTTTGTCTCTTTGCACAAAACTTTGGTTAAAAAACCCACGCACTTAAGCCAGGCGTGCTTCCACCTCGGATGTGCTCTGCCCGTGCAGCACGAGAAGGCAGCAAGACCGAGTTCACACGCACTGACCGGACCTGCTAGAGAGCACAGCCCGGCTCAGCACAACCAGCCACGCTGAGGCGACTCCGGTTCAGGCAGAGCCCACTGGTCAGTCTCCCCTAGAGCAGACACTGGCCGGGACGTATCCATCCCATAGGAGGACAGCGACCACGAGTCTGAGGCTGTCCCTTCTGGGTGTGTGCCCGCATTTTGTGAGCGGATGGCTACGTTTTAAGGGCATACAATAACCCCAGCATTCCTGCACCCCACGTCAGCTCCTGCTCCCCTGTGAGGAGTGGCGCTTTGTCCCAGACGTATTCATTTGTGAAATAGTAGCCTCTGTCTCCATGCGCTCCGTGCTTTCCCTTCAGAACAACACACTTAGGCATCCGTGGATTTCCTTCCGGGGAAGGACAGAGAGTTCAATGTGGCTCACAGTGCAAGTATCTCGTATTTCAGACGGGGCCCCTCTGCGGTGCCCCACGTGGAAACTTGTTCTGGATTACAGACGCACGGCGACATCCTTTCTGCTGCATCGCTGTTAACGCAGTCAAAGGGAAGTGGATTGATGCCTCCATCATGCATCCTGGCACGCCGGGGAGCTTGCCAAACCCCTGGATGTTTGGAAGGATAATTCTGCGTTTACCCCACCATCACTCTGGCCATATCAGAGGTGAGTCACTCACAGCAGCTTCCCCATTTAATGACCGTGCTTCTCAGGGGAAATCGCCTGCAGGAGACTCAGGCTGCTCCGCATCGTGGTTGGGAAGGAGATGTAGTTTTCAACTTCAGGTAAATATCTGTGCAAATCTTTTTGCAAATTTGTGTTTAGGGACCCCTCTGCCCCCAAAAAACATACCCAATTCTTAGCATAATTGTGTGTGCATTGTTTTATGGGTTTTACTGTTTTTTTATCACAATGAAAATAGAATACAGCATGTGAAAGGGCTTTTCGAGCTGCGAAGCAGAGAGCAAGTGGAAGGTGTGTAAGTGAGCGACCTGGAAACACGGAGGTCAGAACGTGTGCACACACACACAGGTGCACACACAACACAACAACATAATCACTCAGGGGTAGAGCGAGCATCCTTGAAACAAGTCAGATGGCAACGAACTTGAGAAGCCGCTCTCCTGGAGCCCCGTGTGCTTCACTTCTAAAATAGCACCCTGGGCCGGCCCCGTGGCTTAGCGGTTAAGTGCCTGCGCTCCGATGCAGGCTGCCCGGGTTTGGATCCCGGGCGCGCACGGACGCACTGCTTCTCCGGCCATGCTGAGGCCGTGTCCCACATACAGCAACTAGAAGAATGTGCAACTATGACATACAACTATCGCCTGGGGCTTTAGGGGAAAAATAAATAAATAAAAAATTAAAAAAAAAAAAATTTAAAATAGCACCCGGATTCCCCGCATGGCGGAGGAGGCGTGCCCTGTCTGTGAGAAGTCAGATGGGAGTCGATGGAGACCACCGAGGCCCCTCTGTCTACTGTAATCCACGCACCTGCTGTGATTTAGGAGCAGTCCTCTGATGCCAACTCGGGGAGTTTGAGAAACGCTTGTTCTTTGCCTTTTGTCAGCTCTGCTATGTAGGTAAACCTCCCCAGTTTGACACGAAATGGATCAGATGCATGAGGAATGGGCCTGTGTCACCTGCCACAGCGTCGAGCTCCTCCCCTCCCACCCTGTCCCCAGGCCCAGAGTGCATGCAGGAGGCACTCTGTGTTTGCACCTTGACAGAGGCCACCCTGCTGGCTCAAGGGGGACCTCTGAGCTGCTGTGTCCACTCCTCCCCGTGGGGTCACCGGCTCCCGGGGTAATCAAGAATCCCAGGGGTTATCAGACAAGCTGACTCTGCCTCCTCTGGGCCCGTGCCTTCAGCCCACAGAGCAGGCTACTACTCAGGAGAAGCCTGGAGCCCCTTCATGAACACCTGTTCCTTCAAGGCCCTTTACTCATCGCTGTGCAAGATCTTCAACGTTGTGCACTGAGACGCGGCAGCATGAGACCAAGGTGGTCAGGGGATGGGGAGGCCCCACTCAATCAGCACCCCCAGCAGGTCCCAGGTTCAATTCTGGAGGGTGGTGCTTCCCAAGATGGTCCACAGCCGATCGAAGGGGATGAGGATGCTCCCCTAGAAGGCAGCTGCACCAGGAGCATCCCACCCAGCTGGCTGTCATGTCCTGCAGGAAGGCAGTGCTTGTTCCTGGTGGAGGTCGTGGGCACAGCCTCACTGAGGCCGGAGTGCCAGCAACTCAATGACACACATTTCTGTGAATGGATGGGCTGGGAACAGCTGAGGATCTGCAGAGTGACAAGGAGCTCCCAGGATGTGCCGGGAGGTGGGGGGACGGCATCTCCCCAAAACAGTCTGGGAAAGTGTTAAGTGAGGTGATGAATGGAGGGCCGAGCACTGTCTCGCGTAGTGGGGTCCCATAAACATCTGTCCTGGCAGGAGCTAGGGGGAGGAGGGTCATGTCAGGCTCTCGCAGGGAGAAGGCTTTGGGGAGGAGGAGGCTGCACTCGGGCGGGAGGAGTCTGTAGAATCCCAATCTGGAAGGAAGAGACCTTCGGTCCAAGAAGTTGCTCCTGCAGAAGGTGGGTAGGGGTTGTGGACCTTATGGATTTGAGACAAAATGCACACGAAGTTGGTGTGAGGCTGGAAAGTCTGGGCTTGTGACAGGTGGGTGATGGGGAGGCACTGAAGGTTCCAGAGGGAGTGACCAGAGGAGGGTGTGGACTGGCACAGCCAGGAGCTGGTTAAGCAGCCAGGGCACTGGATGGGCAGCCTGGGGACCAGCCCTGGACAAGGCGAGGTGGTCAGATGGGGAAAGAGGCCTCCTGGAGACGGGAGAGGGAGACTTGGCAACCGAGTTGTGGGGGAAGCAGCCACGCCAGTGCCTGGAACTGACCGGAGGGTGGAGCTGGGGGCCTCGGGGAGGCCACGTGGACCCGCTGGGCACAGGTGCTGGAGGGACAGAGGGAACACGCCCACAGAGGCGGCGGGAGGTGCCTGGACGGGTGATGGTGATGAAGGTGGTGAGTTGGTGGCCACAGGCCAGGTGCCGGGCGCTGACGTGAAGCCGAGGCACCCAGCAGGGTGAAGGCTGAAGCTCTCGGCCATGGGCTGTCTGAGGCCTTGACCTGGCATCTCCTGGACAGGAGAGACCCTTTGGGGTGTGACAGGTGGTGTGAGTAACCGGACAGAGTGGCCACGTCCACTCACGCCAGGGTGCGGTGACCAGGTTGAACTCGGGCCACAGCATGCAGCCCACGGGGTGGGAGCCGGGCAGACGGGCGCCCAGAGAGGGGCGTGGGGGCACCGAGGTCCAGGACTCGCACACCCTTCCGCCAGCCTCCCTGCACAGAGGGGCTGCAGGGGCCTGTGGTCCCCGCCTACTGGGGCGTCCCCGTCAAGGTTCCTGGACACTGCAGTGCTTCCAGCTGGAGCAGAGGGCCTGGCCTGGGCTGCCGCACCTGTGACCACTCAACTGGACTCGCACCCCGGGGTGGACCAATGGAGGCTCACACCCCGGAGCCCAGAAGGCCAACTGAGTCCCAATTCTGGAGAAAGTCTGTGAGCACCGCATCTCCAAGCATCCGACTCGAGACTTGGACCTTCCTGTGGAGGCGACTCCTTCCTCTGTCACTCGCCCCTCCAGACCCCACCTTGATCAGTGGCCTCGGAGAGGGGCCTAGCTCTTGGGGATGGGGAGGCCCGCAGTAGACCTGGGGGCTGGGCAGCGACATCAACCCTCGGCTGCATGGAGAAGCCATTGCGCTGAGCAGAGCTCCTGGCCCTCACCTGGGTTTCCCTGCTGCTCCGCCCCCAACACCAGCATCCCCATCTGCACCTCCACGAGGCCTCCGGAAAGCATCCACCTCCCAAAGCATCCACGCGGCCTCTGACCTTGGTGGCAATCCCCAATTAAGAAAGGTCCAGATATGAAGGCTTTAAAGGGTTGGTGCTGACGCTGATTCTTTCCCAAAACACAGGGAAACAGAACCAAGACTATAATTTGCTGCCACTCAACCTGTCAAGGAAACTCAGCAATGTGTATGACCTCATGCTCTCGGGAAGGACAGAAGACCTTCACCTGCGGATGGTCAGGGAACTCAGAACGTCCTGGGAGGGGACAGACAGCAGACAGGGGACAGCGGATGGATTCTCCCCACAGCGCCCCCGCCCTCTGAGGAGGGGGTAACTGGGGCCACCAGCCCTCTGCTCCCGCAAAGGATCCTTGCAAAGGAGTGAGGGAATCAGTTAGGCTCAGCCATAGGGAGGGATGCCGGCTTCTCGAATTCTCAAAGCACAGCTTCCCGGTGCCCCCCTTCCCCAGTAGGAGCCCAGAGGCAAGAGGCTGCCATACAGAGGTCAGAGTGGAGGGGGAGAAAGCCGGCCTGATCCCTCCCCTCCCCTGCGCCCCTCCTCCCTTCCTTCCCCTCCTCCCCACCTCCACTTCCCAGTCCCCTCCCCTCCTCCCCATCCCCCTCTCTCCTCTCCTCCCCCTTCTCTCCTCCCCCTCCCCTACCCCTTGGCCAGGCTGGGCTGCCTCCAGGTGTCAGAGGAACCAGGATGAGACCCTGTGTTTGTTTAGGGCTTATTCTCTGAGGGAGAGGAGGAGGACACACCTCAGACCCTCAGAGTGGGGCCTGTTTGTCTCCGGCATTTACCCTGAAGTGTGGAGCCTTTGTTCTCTGGGGGGCTGAGGGCCACCCCCCTTCTCTCCCAGGCCTTTGGTTCTCCCGGGGAGGGAGAGTCTCAACCTCTGAATTCTATGGGTGTGATCAACATCCGGGTTTGTGAGACAACTGGAAACACTGTTATTCCTGAAAACTGCTAATTTGTCCAATAACGTCCCAGGGTCACCAGGACCCGGCCTAGGCCTGGATAAGTGGTGTTGGCTTGGCCAGCGTGTGGTAGAGTTTGGTTGATCTTCGGGGGAACCTTGCCGAGCAGCAGGAAAACCTGCGATTCCCACACTCTGGTGGGAGCACTCTAGAGTTAGCTGGGGTACAGGACCTGCCTCCGTACCCCCTTCCTGGCTCCAGACCAGACCAGTGACCGAGCCCTGGGTGCTGTGGACAGCAGGCCAGCAGACTCCTGGGAATCAGCTGCTAGCAGCACCAGGTGACCATGCCTGGGATAGGGGAGGATGACACAGGGAGATGGGCAGGGTGCTGATGGGGACATGGTGCAGGGGGAGGGGCTGGAATGGTGGTGCTGCAGGGGGAGGGGCCGGAGGAGGGGGAGGAGGGGTGCAGGAGAAGGGGGTGGTGCTGATGGGGGTGTGGTGCCGGGATTGGGGCTGGGCCCCCCCCCATGTTGCAGGGGGAGGGGCTAGGGAGGGGCTGGGGAAGGGGGAGTTACAGGGGAAGGGGGTGGTGCTGATGAGGGCATGGTGTTAGTGGGCAGTGGTGAGTGGGGCCCGCCATCCTTCCACCTCTGGCAGAGCCACCTGGGTGAGAGGGTCGCTGGGCGGTCTAGCGTCCTCAGCAGTGACCAAGCCCAGCCCAGGCAGCAGGAAAGGTCTGTCCACCCCCAGTCTCCAAGGAGAGTCCCATGGCCCTGGCTCTAAGCCTGGACCTGAAAACCTCCAACATCTGGGGAGAAGAATGCTGCTTGCTGTTTCCCAGGGTGGACTCGGGACAGGAGGGGAGTGGAGGGTCAGCCCCTCCTTGAGCTGGGCACCGTCTGCCCCATGAGTATTCGCTGCAGCCTAGTTTCTCAGCAGGAATCTTGCAAGGTCACCTTGCCCAGTGTCCAGGGCGTTAATTTAGCTGAGGCGGACACCATCACCTGAGGCCCCTCGTCCAGCTCGGGTGAGTGGTGACCTGGATGCCTGGGTGGCCCCCCACCCCCGGGTGCCCCCTGGGACTCTTCTCGGGACAGGCAGGGCCATCTGAATGGTGGCTGCGGGCAGAGCCCACTGTTCAGGGAACAAGCTCTGTTTTCCTCTCACGGCTCAGAGGCCTGTGTGCTGCTTCTGCTTCCGGGATCCGCTTACTAAATGGCACCGTGCTGAGGTTTTTAGAAGAGCTCCTCCCCACTTCATCCCCCATGTGGACTCAGGAAGGGCCCTTGGGCGAGTGGATTGCAGCCAGTGCCCCCTGCCTGGCTGCCCCACACACAGTCACCCCATCACACCTGGATGGCACTTTGGGGCCGTACATACCATGCTGGCAGAAGCTCGAGGCCCTTGGTGGCTGCTCCAGCCTGCTCTGTGCTGCTGGAGTGGTCAGCCCACAGGTCTCAGGCGGACAGTGCGTTGTTGTCCTTCCCACAGGGCACGAGGGCCTGGTCCTCCCACAGGCTCTCAGCTCCTCCTGCACTTTTCCCGCCAGGGAATGAGGCCCGGGCCAAGCACTCCTGCAACTCAGTCCTACAGGCCAGCAGCCCTAGGGGCCGCAGCGCGAGGACACACTGCAGTGACGCACTGGGTTTAGACGAGGAAGGGGGCCAGCCCAGCGGCCGAGGCAGGGCTGGAGGAGCCAGGCCGCCGAGCTGGAATCTGGGAGGAAAGTCTCACTGTAAAGAGCTTCCCTCTGTCCTCCTTTGGACTGAGATCCAGTCTCGGTGTCTGTTAGGGGATTTGTGGGGTGTGGACTTTGTGCCAAGACTGGGAGGTGGACATGCAGTGGAGAGAGCAGTGTTGCTGGGCCTTGCGAGCCCATCCGGACAGTGTGCACCACTCAGCTCGTCTGTCCAGGGTCGTCCTAGGTATCTACAGTCTACACAGGAAGAATCCTTTTGAGTTGGCCTCCATGTCACCGTGGGGAGGGGCTTTGCCTCGGCTGATTAGCCAGCGGCCTGTCCCTGTTGCTGATGTAGCTGCTGGAAGATCCTACAAGAGCTGATGTGGGACACTCGGGAGAGTCTCTGACCAGTGGGGGAGGAATACATCACACACGGGGGCCCTGGTGTCGGATTCCACCCTCGTGCGTTTAAAGAGTACAGCGTGTCTCCAAAAGTCACAAATGTAAACAGCGAAGCTCACACATGACCGCTGGGTCCACCCGGGATGTGTGCCCGGGTTGCGTTTCCGGATGCTTTTGCAGCGAGGGTCATGATGCTCCCGTGACCCTGCCCCACCCTCCCCAGGACTTTGCTGCTGCGAATCTCAGCCGAGAGGGCGCCAGGACTCCTGGGTGGCCCTGGAGGAAGCTGAGCGTGAGAACTGCTGTCTGCATGTCCGTGAGCCCAGGGCCCCCAGGGACACATTCACTGCCTGCTCTGCCCATGGCCCGAGGGCCATGTCTTGGAGCCTGTGCTTAGTCCAGGACGGCTCCTCTCTCGATCCTGGGTGGGTGGTGACTTGGTAGGAAGCACGGTGGCTCCCTGCTCACGGCCACCAGTGCCAGCCGCCTGCAGGTGTGCACGCTTGTCACACGGGCTGCTGGGCCCAGGAGGCTCACGGTCCCCTCTCTCCTCTCACCCTCCTCTCTCAGGTTCAGCAAGTCAACAGTATTGTTTGCTGATCACTTTGTGATGCAAACCCAGAGAGGCTGGAGGAGCTTCTAAGGTGTTCGCAATAGGTCACCAGGAGCCCAGTGATGTAAAGATGGGCAGAGAAGGCTGCGGGGGTGGGGCGGGGGGAGCGTGGCGTGGCCCGGCACCCCGTCAGACTCATCTCACAGACCCACAATTTGGAGACTGAGCCACTGAGCACGTCGCTCTCCTTACGGACCCTGGTGTGCGTCTCTCTTCTTTGACCCACTTTGCTCCTGGGCCACCTTCTGTACCTGAATTAGTTGCTCCAAATCTTCCCCTTGTCAAAGGCCTCGTCAAAGGCCTCTGTCACCCTGGCAGGCCATTCGGGGACGTGCATCCAAACAACAGGGACTTGGGCCTGGACTGGGACCCAGCGACTGTGCGTGGGAGAAGGCCATGTGCGAAGACACTCTCCAGAGCATTAGCTACAAGGTGTGAAGGCAGGAGTGGCGCCCCACTTGCCGGCGGGGTGACCACACTCCTCGGGGCGCATCCGTGTCCAGGCGAGTCCCTGCGTATGACCACCCGCTGACATGATTGGGGGCCTACGACGGCTGGTGCGTGCTCTAGACGCAACATGGAGAACCCAGCTGGTGAGGAGGGAGGCCTGGTCCCCGCCCTCGGGACAGACACTCAGTGGAGAGTCAGACACAAGCATGTACACAAACACCATGACGTGTTCACGAATAAAACAGAGCAGGCAGTCCAGGAGAGAGTAAGGGTGCTCTGTGCTGACCTGGACAGATGCTGCCTCAGCCAGCACCACATGGCGAACGCCACCCCAACCAGCAGCTGAGTGGCGGTCGTGTGTCACTGGAGCCCACGCGTGGTGGCCGGGGCAGAGAGGGGGCTCGGCTCTAGGTTGGATTGGGCAGGGCAGCTCAGCGGGAGTGGTCATGCCCCCCGTGCCTCTCATCCTCCGGGGACCAGCGGGCTGGACGTGTCCTCACGGTAGGGGCACAACGCAGGGCCTCTTGAGACGTAGCCTCAGGACCGGCACATATTCACTTCTGCCTCATGCATCAGTCACGGCAGGCCATGTGGGCGACCCTAAAGAGGCAGGTGCCACACCGGGAGGGAGGGCGCTGCAAAGCTGCAGGGCAGGGGCGGATACGGAGAGGTGAAGAATTGGGGCAAACGAATGGGATTTCCACAGACGTCACAGAGTTGAGTGAGCAGCAGGTGAGGGACTGGTGTCTGACAGGCCGCCTCACAGCCACCCTGGGATCCGCGGCCTGGCCTGCGGAGGACCCACGTCCGTGCACAGGGACCCACACCCAAGCCAGGTGGAGGGCAGGTGTCCAGCCCCGACGTACTGCTCCCCCAGAGCAAGGGGCCCAGAGCACCAGCCGCCTGGCCGTCAGGGAGCTGGACAAAGGGCTTTAAGTGACAGAGACCGAGA